CTGACTGAGCCTCGGTACCGAGATGGCACATGAGTCCGCCCGACAGCATGGGCTTGTCGCGGAGCACCGAAACCGCCGACTGGCCGGCTGAGGACGTCTTCTGCAAGTGGACGGTTTGGTTGCCATCCGCCTTCGTCATGTCCTCCTGATGAGACAATTTGCGCTGGCGCAGCAGACCAGGTACCTCTTCATGCGTTCTCAGGTCTAGGCTGCTCTGCAGCAGACTCGATTTGTGCCCCAGCGTCTGGAGAGTGTTCTCGACTGAGGTCGTGGGACTGGCATCGGCGTTGATGCTGAAGTTGTTGCTGCTGTTCGCCGTCGTGTTGGTCGCCGCTGTGAGAGTGATGTGGTTCACCAACTGACTGGCCGGGCAAAACGGGTCCACGGGCAGGCCGATCATGTGATCCTTCAGCTGGCGATAGGCCTGTCCCTTCCGCGGCTCCGTTGAACCGGTCGCTTCGATGCCGATCGGCGCCAGATTCGTCCCGTCGGCTTGACGAGGCAGCGCGATCCGGTCACTCGTCCCATCCTCGTCGGCATAATCCGATCTTGCCGGAGCGTCGGAATACGACGCATGCCTCGGCCTGGCCGCCCATGCCGGCGACGAGACTCGACGTGCCGGCCATGTCGGCTCCGGGTCGTCGTCGACCTCGGCGGCCGACTGACGCTGTCGACTGGCGAGCAGGTAGAGCCGGCTGGAGGGCAGGCGGAAGAGGGTGGAAACGCGAGTGATGAATATTTGGCCGCTCACGCACAACGTGATTGTGTCGTTGGGCTGCAGCCGACAGTCGCGGCCTGGAAGCTGACCCTCGCCGCTCAACATCATACACCGCGTCGGGTTGAGCTGATGTGGAGGGCGGAGGAAGAGCAACTTGACGGTCGGATAGTTCCGAGTGGAGCCCTAGAGTCGGGCAATATGTCGACATGTAAATTGGCAGTTAGAGCTGCTGGGCTTCATGTTTGCGGCACTGGTTTAATCAGATCGCTTGGGCAGACGTTGGAACGACGCTCCCGAGCTTTTTCTGTGCACACACGCACAGGGATGGATTGTGGGGGCCCAGCCGGAGACCGTGTAGGACCGTCAGAGGTGGAGGTATCGCTCAACTTTTTGCATGTCGAAGCGGCAGCAATCCAAGGTGCTCGGAAGAGACGTCAATCGGAGGTATGGGAAATCGGGACAACACACCCTCCGATCTGGGCTAGGACACTATTGACCTGCCCATTCGACAGGTTGATAGCGAGTCGGGATTGGTGGATACCAGGTTAATCCCCTCTGCTTTGGGAGCTTATATGGGCGTATTAGCCAAATATCTCGGGTATCCACGCCTGTTTGTCTGTGTGCTCGTGCCAATCTGTGTACCTAGTGCCGGGCTCTTGATCCTGAGCCAGAATGGCAGACGGGCAGTCATGTCGTCGAGTAGAGGCGATACAGACGACGAGCTGGGCAATGCTTGCAGTCGTTAGCCTTCACCTGTTCTCTTAAGCCTGCTCTATGCTTCGACGCGGCAATGTGTGTATAGTTGCAAAAAGGTACAAACAATATTTGGCTGCAATAATTGACCTCGAACCAGGGGACAACTACTTGCAAGCCCTGGCAATGGGGAGCATATCATAAAGAAAGAATTTCCCTGAATAGAGCTTTATGCTTAATGAGTCGACACGAAGAGAAACTGGGTTTCGATAAATCTCCTGAGATAACATTGTTTGAGGGACCTTCATTTCGTATGAAAGTGTTTGAAGAAGAGATTCGTTGGTCGATCTCACCAGATGAGGACGGATGAAACTCGTTGTACTGCAGCCGTTTAGA